ACGAGTTCGAGGATTGTTAGTGATTAAGGGATTGTAGTGATTGGGACGGGGGGGGGGGGGTCGCACCTCTAGTAGCCTCACTCACACGACGAAACACAACGCCAGTTGTTTCACGTCAGTTTTCTATGAGACCGTAGTATCATTCCGATAGATGACATGACGTAACTGACACCTAATAGTAAACTTAGATTATAAAACTTTTAAGACAATCAATGAAAAGTTATTGGTTTATAAAACTTTATTAGCTTAGCCAGAAACTAAGACCTCTCTTGCTAAACAGTCATGACCACATGATCCATGAGCCAGTCAAAAAAAAAATTTGGCAAATGAAATTGAAACTATACATAGTTGCAGTTAGTCACCTTCAAATCATCATTGATTAATTACCATCTCTGGTTTTCCTAATTATAATTATCATATGAAATTAGTGCTTATTATCTTAGTAATCGTAAACTTTTCACTAAAAGTATTATGTAGGTATAAATAGTGACCAGTCGTAGTAAATTCATATTTAGCAATTCATTCATTCAGTCCATTTCTTCAAAGCATCGGCGTTTAAGTGAAATTAAAAAACATATTACGACGTATATTTAAGCAGATACATAGAGGTAGAGTGAAATCACGACACACATTTTTTACTTCCAAAATTATTAACAACTACTTCCACTGCATCCCCACATTTACTTAAAATACAGAGAATCTGAACTATTGATTACCTAGTAAACTTATTAAAAGGAGCAAATATTACCTACTTGTGAACAAACTAAACTTCTGAACTCCCCAATCCCCTTAAGGCAAGCAACGCACTTGTAACAACTGTGGTGTTGTGGTTGTCCATGGGCGGTGACAATCCCTTATTAATCGTTGGATCATTTAATTAGGGTTTATGCCATAAAATAAAGTAATCGAAAACTTATTTTAGTCAACAACATAACATAACACATAACACACATAGCCACACACACACCCACACACACACACACACACACACACCAACAGACTTATGATATAACTAGACTTTTAATTATTCATTTTCACTATTGTAACGTATTACACTTGTATGACATAAAAGAGCGGCGCCTCCTGGTACAGGCATTTATATCCTTAAAAGGAGACGCCACCAACTGTGTAACTTTGTGTTAACGTGTAATAACGAAATAAACATTTTTTGATTTCTGATTTGATTTTGAACATCACGCCTTTTATCCCCGAACGGGTAGGCAGAAGTGCACATACACTACAAGTGTATTATACCACTGTGTACAGTGTAAAGTGGGTGTTACATTGTAATGTAACACCCACTTTTCACTATTTATGTTATGAATCCCATGTAATAGGGGGTGAGCCTATTGCCATATACCGAGCACAATTCCTGACTCGGTGCTACTACTGAGAATATTTAAAAAACCCAGTAGTACTCTGCCTGACCTGGGAATCGAAACCACTCGGCGAACGAGGCAGCAGTTTAGTCAACAAAACACTAAATATGTTGGCATTTTATTTATAACTACTGTTTATAGTTGATAAATAAATGAATCGTCAGACTATATCAGATGTGACGCAGTATGTCAAGGGTGATATGGCAATGACGATAAGGTCCGTTTTTGTTCGTTGGAAAAATCCAAGATAAAGTACGAATATGATAATCACGAGTAAATTTCATTCCCAGAATTATAATTAGACGCTATAGATACTCGTGTGCTTTATAATGGTCAAATCATATGTCAACACAACTATATTCATGTTTCTAACGTGTTTCCAAAAATGTCAGGATTTCTAATATCGTCGTGGTACAACCATGATTTATTTTAAACTTATTTTTTGTCATTTACTTTAAAATTAAATGATTCATTGGGTTTATAAATAAGAAAACAAAAATTAACTTTTGAATATCTAAACTAACCTAACGCCATTTTCTTCCTAGTCGTTCTCTTGTCGCGGAGAACCTAACGGGTTACCAGGGCTCCAGCTCGAAATGCAGGAGTAGCAACGGGGTGGTTTTTAGTCAGTAAGAGTCTGACACTCCCTTCCGCGTCACCCAGGCGGGAAAAGTATTTCGATAATTTTCCCCCCTTAAAAAAAGTACTGAAGGTCGTGTCTAGTCTGGTGCACGCGTCACTTGATGCACAACCCTCTTCCAAACGCCGCTGTCCTCTATAATATATCTCACTCATATCTAAGTTATATACTTTTAAATAAGTACAACAAATCAGACTTTCTTTGCTATGTTTGTTCTAACAATTTCGGACAAGGCTTGTATTACAAAAAGGGATATCCATCGTGAAAGTCGTATGCTAAAATGGGCTGCTAATAAAAACGAGAAAGCTAAACCGTCCCACCCTTTTACTTGTGTCAAGTCATTCTGAATTCTCACGCACAGATAATTAGGTAGATATTAGAACTGCAGTGACACAAAAATGAAAAGTTTTATCAAAGTGCAACACCGTCGATTACAAACATACAGTAAAGGTGGTATTGATAAGAAGGCTATCCATTTTATTATTGATTAATTCATAACAAATGTATTGATTATCAAAAGTGATAATTTCTAGTAGAAAGTCCCTATTTAATTTCTGTTAACACAATACTATATTTAGAAAATCGATAGTGATTTCAATAATTATATTAAATAAAGTCATGATTTATTGTTATTTGTATTATTCACATAATATAGCATCGTGCCTTTTATCCCCGGAGGGGTAGGCTGAGGTGCACATTACGGCACTTAAAGCCACTGTACAATGTAGCACCTACTTTTCACTATTTCGTATTATTAATAATACTAAGTAATTATTTTTACACTGAGTTCGATTGTCAAATAGGACAAGATCATATCCGAAATTGGTTAAGTGTTGACAATTAAATACATTGGCGAGATGATGGCCAAACGCCATCTTTATAGACAGATGTTGCACTTATTAAATGTGACAACTTTTCCTAAGTTGTTTAGACTTCCTAGTAAAATATCTCAAGTCTATTGTCATTACAGAGTCTCAATCATCACTCTAGACCCCGTCTTCCTGCTAAGAATTTTCGGAAAATGAGACATATCCTTATTACCTTGTTCGACATAGGAATTAAAATCGAAATCTCGAAGAAACGGGATGTTTGTAGTCTTTAAACTTTAAAACTGTTTTAAAAAAACAATGACACAAGTTGTAATAAAAATTGACTGCACCTAGCTTCAATCAGTGAAGATTACGTGTAAACCCCTCTTTTGTAGAAACCGCTCATAGTTCAGCTTTGTACTCTCATGGGCCATTGATGATGGTGATGGAATTATCATCGCTTCCCATACTCAACCACGTCCCAAAATATTTATATAAACATCTCATTTCGAATAACTATCCATTAAAATATTTTCAGGAGCCGTTTTCTGTTTTGGTGTAAATTAAAATTTTTGACTGCCTCGTTGGCCAATTCCCGGGTCGGGCAAAGTATTACTGATATAAAAAAAAAAACTTAGTAGTAGCACGGAGTCTGGTAATGTGCCCGGTATATGGCAATAGGCTCACCCACTATTACATGGCGCTCATAACATAAATAGTGAAAAGTGGGTGTTACTTCTGTGTTCACCTCTGCCTAACCCTATGGGGATAAAAGGCGTTATGTTAAGATTTTTCAATTTCAATTTTCGAATATTTACCACATTTTTACGTTTTGCTATAACGTTTTATTCATATCGAAATTTAAACGTAAGTGAAGCTACAACGGCAATTGGGATTTAGGGTACGTACGTTCCAAACATTAAAATTCAATTCGTCAATATTTATTTCTGTGTTAGTATTTTATCAGTACTTTATTACAAATTTAGGTTAATCTTTTATAAACCAACGTTCATATCGGATTGATAATCATCCTATAATACAAATATTATATGAAGAAAAGTATAAATAAAAGTCAGTCGTTGCACATATTAAACCAGCAGTGCATTGTCAAAAAATAATTTAAAATACGCGTCAATATGAAACGTAAGTCAATTTGTCAATTACCTCTATAATATAGTCATATTTATTTCAAACAAGTAAATTACCTTTTACGTTTATTTGAAAAACCATATCAGGAATATATGTATTTAACTATTTTACAATAAAAATGTGTGGATATGTTTAAAAATAAAAATAAATTGTGATAATAAAAATGATGAATCATTAGTTTTATTTGAGAAATAAATAAATGTTTTTTTTTTCTACATAACAGACATTCATAACGACATATATTTAATTTACTTCACTTAAATATTTTAAGTGAAGTAAATTATATTATGTGTCGAATAATTGAAAAGGTTAAAGAATCTGAGCAATGGTTCTGTTTTTTGTTTTAGGCATAGCGCTCCTGATTTTATGCGCAGCTGCTACAGCTCAGGCGAACGATAGAATTATTCCCAGAAGAAAGTTAATCCTTGAGAAGAAGATAGAAAAAGACGGACAAGATGGCTTCAGCAGTGGAAATCAAGAGGCAGAAAAAGTCCTCGAGCAAGTGTTTAGAGGAAATAGCGATCCTAGCCAAGCTCCTGCCATCTGCGCCGCTGAAGGTTCAGATGGAGTGTTGGTCGCTCATGAAAATTGTAATCAATTCTATAAATGCTACAGAGGAGAGCCTGCAGCTTTGGACTGTCCGCCAAATCTTCTCTACAATCCAGAAAAGGAATATTGTGACTGGGAATGGAATGTCGACTGTAGCAACCGAATTAAACCAGGTGATATAAGCGGTGGAAACCCTAACGAAGATAAGGGTCCCGCCCATCTATCGGGAGGAAACAGCGATCCTGGTCAAGCTCCTGCTATTTGCGCCGCTGAAGGTTCAAATGGCGTTTTGGTCGCTCATGAAAATTGCAATCAATTCTATAAATGCTTCGGTGGAGAACCTGCAGCATTGAATTGTCCACAAAATCTTCTCTACAATCCAGAAAAAGAATATTGTGACTGGTCCTGGAATGTTGATTGTGGCAATAGAGTTATTCCTAGTGAAAAAGTTGTTGCTGAGAAGAAAATCGATCCCAATCTTCTAGTGAAATTTGTGCGGCTGAAAATTCTGAAGGCTTGATTTTATGTGATGAATATTGTGACAAATTCTACATTTGCAATCATAGCAGACCCGTTACATGCAGTGGCCACCTAAACTTTTGTTTAGGTGGTGTAATTTCCAACATTCTTCATTCTGTATATTTGCTGGTATGGTAAACTATGGGAACAGAATTATACCAGATGATTTTGCAGGCGGAAATCACAACAATTAATAAAATTTAATACTTATTTTTTGTTATTTTTATTCCATATTTTTAGAAATCTTAGGACATTTATTTGCATGATTCACTTTTATATATCTCTGATAAATTATTTTATAATAAAGCTTATTTTTAATAATAAAATCCTGATATCTTGATTAAGAAGTTAGAAAATGAATTTGGCATCACAACGTCACTAAACAGCATATCACTGAGGGATATCATGTTATAAAAATGTACCTACAGAATTGGCATTACAATATGTGTAAACAAGTACTAAAGAAAAACAATACACGTTGAATTTGATAATCAAAAATTAAAGTAAATGAAATGAAAACTAGTCAATATATTACTATACTACAAATAGACAGGTTGTAAATTTAATATGATTTGGCTAAAAAATGTTCTAATGAATGAATAATAAGAACTTTTAGTTTAGGGCACTCGTCTCTCACGACGGAATATTGTCATAATTTTTGTTACCTTTTACGCATTAGCTTATATCTTCTACGATTAATATTTGGAAGAAAGAAAATAAGAGGCAGAAAATAATTATTATTATCTTTAAGCGATGACTTCTTATAATAGCCCGTAAACATTCAAAAGATAGTCTACTAGTACTTGCTAGTGACCTATCCGTGCCTGAGCTACGTCCGTGTGCTATTTCTCAATCTTCTCTACAAACGTGTAATTTTACTTTTATTTAACTTTTGTATGAACAAATGTTTATAATCGGGGATTAAGAAGTTAAATAAACTGATTGGTTGTCTTCTTGTGTACTCGAAACCATTTAAGAAAATATATTACAAGGTGCTTTATTCAACTTTAAATGGGCGGGCTCAATCAGAAAATATCAGCTTTCTTTATAATTACGATCGTCCAGTGGTGACGTAATGTTACTGCATTTTGCCTAAAAAGTGAGAGTCCCAGAAACCGAACTCACTACTTGAAAACGTCATTATTTAAGGGTTGTCTGTTTCAGCAACTCAGTAAGTTACCGGTATGTTTCGTAATGCACTTAAATAGTTTCGATTTTGCAAGATGGTGACCACTTCAACTAACACAGCTTACCAAAATCCTCAACTATATACCCAAATTTAAATTATTTTTTTACATTTAGCATTTAATTTTAAAAGTATGTGAAACCGGGGGTGCAGTTAGTGTATATTTTATCAGCGATAAATAACAAATTCATATTAATCATTCAAAAATCAGTGTTCATATCTACTATTATCGTCATACAGTTAAGATATTACATGAGTGAAGTATAAATTAAAACAGTCGTTGCAATTACACAACCAGCACTCTCTTCTTAAATATTGTGTAAAAAACACGTCAATAATAATATGAAAGGTAAGACTCTTGTCAATGCAAAATTAAATTTTATCGAAGCAATTTACTACAATGTATTTGAAAATCGATGTGATTAATGTACTTAACTATTTCGCACTATCATGGTGTAGATATTATATATGGTGATGTTAAATGTGACTAAAAGTAAACAATTTCTCAAGAAAAAAAAAGGAAAAATAAACTGTTTAGAACATGTAAATGTAAACAAATAAGTTAAATAAAAAAGTTACCGACGTAAATAAGTATCTAAAAAGTTTAGGAGTTTGAGAAATCATTCAATTTTTGTTTCAGGCATAGCGCTGTTGCTTCTCTGCGCAGCAGTTGCAGCTCAAGCGAGCTCAAGCTGCTCTCTAGATTCAGTTGGTCTCTTACTGCCTCATCCAAAATGCGACCACTACTATATGTGCTTCTTTGGCAGTCAAGTGGAACTACACTGCGCAGATGGTCTCCTATTTAATCCTAAACTTCAAGTGTGTGACTGGCCCCACAATGTAGACTGTGGTGATAGAATTATTCCCAGTAGAAAATTAGTCTCTAAGAAGAAGATAGAAAAAGACGTCCGATCTCCCGCTGAAATATGCGCGGCCGAAGGTTCTGAAGGTCTTATTTTCGACCATGAATATTGCGACAAATACTACAAGTGCAACCATGGCAAACCCGTTACCATGCCTTGCCCTCCTAACCTTCTATGGTGGGCTCCGTTCTGTTATTGGGCTGAACAAGTAGACTGTGGTGACAGAATTAGACCAGATGGCTTCAGCAGTGGAAACCAAGAGGCAGAAAAAGTCCCCGAGCAAGTATCTGGAGGAAACAGCGATCCAAGCCAAGCTCCTGCCATCTGCGCCGCTGAAGGTTCAGATGGCGTGTTGGTCGCTCATGAAAATTGAAATCAATTCTATAAATGCTACAGAGGAGAACCTGCAGCATTGGATTGTCCGCAAAATCTTCTTTATAATCCGGAAAAGGAATATTGTGACTGGGAGTGGAATGTCGACTGTAGCAATCGAATTAAACCAGATGACATAAGCGGTGGAAACCCCAATGAAGATAAAGACCCCGACCAAGTATCTGGAGGAAACAGCGATCCTAGTCAAGCTCCTGCTATTTGCGCTGCTGAAGGTTCAGATGGCGTTTTGGTCGCTCATGAAAATTGTAATCAATTCTATAAATGCTTCAGTGGAGAACCTTCAGCATTGGATTGTCCACAAAATCTTCTCTACAATCCAGAAAAGGAATATTGTGACTGGGATTGGAATGTTAACTGTGGCAACAGAGTTATTCCTAGTGAAAAAATTGTAGCTTAGAAGAAAATCATTCAAGACGTTTTGAAGGCTTTATTTTCCCCGACATATTATTGCGACAAATTCTACATTTGCAATCATGGCAGACCCGCTACTATGCAGTGCCCACCTAAACTTCTGTTTAGTGAATCTGGTTCGTTCAGTATATTTGCTGGTATGGTAAACTGTGACACAGAATTATACCAGATGATTTCGTAGGAGGAAATCACAACCATTAATAAGAGGAGAATTTTTTTTTGGACCTAAATACTTTTTTTATTGTATTTATTGCATAGTTTTTAGAAATTTTCGGACAATTGTTTGCATGATTGACTTTTGTATATCTCTAATAAATTATTTTATAAAAACGCTTATTTTATTATTAATATCCTGATAGATATTAAATAAGAAGTTAGAAATTTGAATTTTGCATCAAAATGAGACTAAGCAGCATGTCGTTGGGACATATCATGCTATAAAAATGTATCTACAGCATTGGCATTACAAAATGAGCAAACAAATAACATTAACGAAAAAATCACATTTAATGTTTGATTTCTTTGACATAACATGACAATAAAGAATTGAATGTAATTAAATGAAAAGTAATATATTACTACACTACAAATAGAAACAGGTAGTAAATTGAACATGATTTGACTAAGAAATGCTCTACTGAATGAATAATAAGAACTTTTTGTTTCCCCTTTTGTTACTTAGAAATAAAACAAAATAAAATCAAGTAAGTAATGTTTTGTCAAAACTGTCATTGATAAAGTGTAATATTTGAATTAATGAATACTTAGTGTTATGGTGTTGTTTATGGCCATCTTTTAGTTTAGTTTTGGTCACTTTCACGGGTCTCACACGATGATATGTTGGCATAATTTACGTTACTTTCGACGCATTTGTGTTAATATCACTCTAGACTACGTCTTATGATTCGAGATTTTCGAAAATTTAATAATAGCACCTCGTGGTGGTATAGGTGTGAAAACATAGATAGTAGTAGATAGATAGTCATATAAAATAGTCCTTATATGCTTTGCTCGACATGGAAAACAAAATCCAAATTCCTAGCCAATCCGTGATACTGGTAAAAAAAAATAAAAAAAAAACAGATAATTGTCTTCTTGTGTACTCGAAACCATTAAAAAAACAATGTTACAAGGTGCTTTCTTCATCTTTAAATGGGCTGGTTCAATCGGAAAATAACAACCCTCTTTAATCTAAACACTACCTCTACATAGCATAAAACAAAGTCGCTATCCGCCGTCTGTCTGTCCCTATGTATGCTTAGATCTTTAAAACTACGCAACGGATTTTGATGCAGTTTTTTTGTATGTGCGTATTTTGAATGTACACAAAGCACCGCTAATTAGTTCGTAACGCTCACATCGACACTACTGTCATTTACACAATGTACATGTGTGGGTAATTTCATATTACTGTGTATAAAAATATTCGTCCACCACGTTCACATTGGTATTTTCATTCTTGTGTCGGTATACGTATTTTTATAATTTAATGCATGGGTAAGGTTAAAACTATTTACAATCATTGATATGACCCGACATTTTCACTGTAATTATCGTAGTGCTCGTGGTCGATTGGTTAATGAGTACGCTTTTATCGTCTTTCAAGGATCAATGATGATGTGGGTTCTATTCCAGCTAAAAGTTTTTTTTTATTTTACCTTGTTGTTTTTCTTATTTATTTTTTTTTGTTTTTTGTCATATAATATAAATATCAGGCTATAAAAGAAGCAAATCAGTCGGTAAATAAAACAATACTATTTTTTATTAAAATTAATTTATTAATTATACAAATATGTGGTTTTATATTCAATATTTATATCTAATAATTAATTATATACCACATGTTAACTTTAAAGTTCTTCCAATCATTCTAAATTATTCTAAATAATAAATAACTAGAACTAAAATATAAATAAAGGATATTATAGGTATAAATAAATCTAAAGTATTTACTATTAAAATTAACATAAGATTTAGAAAAATAGGATAGGAAAAAAAGAAAAGATTTAATTGTTTCTAATTTCACATTTCAAATATTTGATTAATTAATACTAAAACAACATGTGAATGCTGGAATCGATCCGGTGGCACTTTACTTGACCACTGGAGGCGATAACCATTGCGCCAAGCGCGCCGTAGATGAGAACATCGAAATATTGTATATCATTCAGTAACATAAAAATACAATGAGAATGCACTATATTTATATAAGTATTGTATTGCTCGATCGTTCATTATTTTTGATTTCGATTTATTCAAAGTTTGTTATGAGTATTTTTATCTTTACCCTCGTTTTTATTTAAACTTATTTACTAAAATATTACGTATACCGACACAAAAATGATATGTAATACCAAGATGTGTGTGATAGAACGAATGTTTCTATACATATCTATTAATATGAAATTACCCACACATGTTCACTGTGTAAATGATAGTAATGTCGATGTGTAGCGCCTCGAACTAATTAGCGGTGCTTTGTGTACATGCATATTGCACACGTGCGAAGCCGGGGCGGGTCATTAATCTTTATATTATAATTCTGCTTTACGTGTGTATGTCATTGAACTCCTCCTAAACGACTTGACCGATTTGAATGTTATTTTTTGCGTTTGGGTGACGCCCTGGATGGTTTAGATTTACAAATTAGCCCGGCAGATGGCTATATATCTATCTATGTTACTTACGGCTGGATCGATTTCAATGAATTTTTGTTTATGCGTTTAAGTGGAGGCCTGGAAAATTTACATTCACAAAAAAACAATTCGGCAGATGGCGCTGCAGTCGACATTCGATCGGACGGATCGGGCTGAGATTCGGTATGCCGGTAGATTTTATGATATAGACATCCGCTAAGATTTGAAGGATTTTGATCATTTCCATCCCCAAGGGATTAAATTGCGGATAAAAGTTTGTATGAATCTTTGTCAGTTTTGAACCGATTGGGTTAAAAATTGGTCTGCAGGTTGAAATTATGATGTAAGCATCCCCTAAGAAAGAACTTTAATCTATTCCACCCCTAAGGAGGTAAAAGAGGGGATGAAAATTTGTATGGAACTTTGTCAGTTTAAAGCCAATTGGGTTGAAATTAGATCGATATTGCAGGTAGATGTTACAATGTATGCATCCCCATAGAAAAAGATTTTGATCAATTCTACCATCACTACAAGGGATAAAGTAGGGAATGAAAGTATGTGTGAAACTCTGTCAATTTTAAACTTATCGTGCTGAGGCTTTGCATGCATAAAGCTTCTATGACGTAGGCATCTTCTTGGGAAGGGTTTTGATAAATTCTACCCCTAAGGTCGCGTATTTTGTTTGTCGTGGAAAACCTAACGGGTAACCGGGGCTCTGGCTCGACGTGCAGGAGAAGGAACGGGGTGGTTTTTAGTCAGTAAGAGTCTGACACTCCCTCCCGCCTCACCCAGGCGTAGTCATTCGATGATTTTTCACCCTTAAAAAAAAACAAACATAACATCATGCCTTTTATCCCCGAAGGGGTAGGCAGAGGTGTACATTATGCCACTGTACAATGTAACACCCACTTTTCACGATTTATGTTATGAGTCCCATGTAATAGGGGGTGAGCCTATTGCCATATACCAGGCACATTTCCAGACTTCGTCTTACTACTGAGATTTTTTTAAAAACCCAGTAATACTTTGGAAGGAAAAGAAGTCATCCCAAAACAAGTGCGGTACTGCACCGACCGGGCCGAAACATTTGCTGCGTCCAGCTGTACCAGTGACGCTGCTGTACGTGTCCAGGCTGCATTACTCTACAAAGGTCGAGGAGATTGTAGAGTATATTCAGATCAAAACGAATTACACTCTAAGGGTTTTGAAATTAGAATCCCACCACAGCGTGAATTTCAATTCATTTGTGGTGAGAGTGCCTTCCGTGGATTTACCAAAATTCATGACACCAGAGTTTTGGCCGAAAGGTGTTGTTTTCCGGCGATTCCGCGGCCGGATACCTGACACCGCGCAGCACACGACGCTGACACAGCACAATAGTCGTGATAATTAGTGTTTAAATTTATTAATTTATTACTTACATATGTATTTATAGTATTTTAAGTTGAAATTGTAGTAGATATTATAGTATTATTGTATTTTAATATGGGCCTTCGTTGCCTGATATAAATAAATAAATAAAATAAATAAATAAAAAATTTGTCCGACCCGGTAATCGAACCCGAGACCCCTTGTCCGGCAGTCGCACTTGCGACCACCCGGCCAACGAGGCAGTCTAAAAAAAAAGGTGATAAAACAGGGTATGAGAGTTTGTATAAATCTTCTTAGCGATTGAATCCAAGAATTCGGTTAATTGATAGTTACCCAAAAAAAAAGATAAATCTGGAAAACGATATATGATAGTTTTTATCACAGAAGTCGCTGTGGGTTGCTGTGGACTAGTAAATTGGGAACTATGGATGAGTTTGTCACCTGCCGGAACAATGTCATAATTATACGTAAAAATGGCAGTCGGAAACTCGTCAACTCACTGACCGGGCCCCGGAAATCAACAACAACAGCATCAACAACCTAAGGTGCCACTGCTGACCAAAGGCCTTTTCACACACGGAAAAGGTTTCAGCATTTATCGCCACGCTTGCTCAATTCGGGTTGGCAAATTCTAACGTATAATTACTAATTATAAGCTTAGGTTTCCCCGTGATTTTTACATCACCGTTTGTCAGTGGTGTCTGAATAATCTTAGAAAGTACATATCAATTGGAAATAGTGATATTGATACTTGCTGTTGATCAGTTTTGAACTTCATGCATTAGAAGCAGGCATCTTCAACCTCCGGACCACCATGACTTTACCTCGGGAATGGTTGCTAGATAGTAGAGCAACAGAGGGACAACGGAAATCTAAGTGACTGAAGGGTTAAGAAATTACCTCTGCTTTCTACTCAGATTATCTGCTCCAGCCGAAGTCTCCTGCATCCCTGGCCCACTTGCGACTTACGAATAGTTTCATGCCCTCCGAGAAGGATCACTGCTCTCACGGCTCAACTCTGGACGGCCAATAAAGGTGAGCTAGAGGAGGGAGACCTATTCCTCGTCATCGTTCACTCCAGCGAACCAATTAACGAAAGCCGAGAAGTGAGGGTAAACTAATCTATATCCATTTCCTGCTTCTTTTCCACAGTTCAGAAAATAAGGAACCTCCTAGAAGCACTCGGGATGATTATAATTTTATCAAACTAATGCCACGTCCTAAAATATTTACCTACCTAAAAACCTTAATTGAAATTCAATTTTAAATTGTTGCTTTTTAAAAGTAAGTGAAGCCGCGGGTTTATTTAGTTAAATGTTTTATCAGTGTTAAATTACAAATTCATATTAATCATTTAAAAATCAGTGTTCTTATCTACTAATTATCTTCATGCAGTTTAGATATTAAATGAACGAAGTATAAATTAAAAACAGTCGATGCACATACACGACTAGTAGTGTTTTCTTCAAATTGAGTAAATAAGTCACAGTTTAATACCACGAGTCAATAATAATATGAAAGGTAAGACACCGTCAATTAAATATTTAATTCTATTAAAAAATTTATTTAACTATTTTGCACTACCGTAATCCTACATCAATATCAATACATAGTATAAAACAAAGTCGCTTCCCCTGTATGTCCGTATGTATGCTTAGATCTTTAAAACTATGCAACGGATTTTGATGCGGTTTTTTTTTAATAGATAAAGTGATTTTTAAGGAAGGTTTGTATGTATAATACATGCATATTGCACCCGTGCGAAGCCGGGGCGGGTCGCTAGTTTTACATAAATGGTGATTATATTTTCTGACTAAAAATAATTTGTGCAACTAATTTGTTTGACAATAAAAAGATCTCAATGTTGAGAAAAGGAACTATGTGTCGAACATATGAAATAAATTAAATTAAAAAGTTAAATAAGTAACCGAAAAGAATAGGAGTTTGAGAAATCATTCAATTTTTGTTTCAGTTATAGCGCTGTTGCTTCTCTGCGCAGCAGTTGCAGCTCAAGCGAGCTCGAGCTGCTCTCTAGATTCAGTTGGTGCCTTACTGCCTCATCCAAAATGCGACCACTACTATATGTGCTTCTTTGGCAGTCAAGTGGAACTACACTGCGCAGATGGTCTCCTATTTAATCCTAAACTTCAAGTGTGTGACTGGCCCCACAATGTCGACTGTGGTGATAGAATTATTCCCAGTAGAAAATTAGTCTCTCAGAAGAAGATAGAAAAAGACGTCCGATCTCCCGCTGAAATATGCGCGGCCGAAGGTTCTGAAGGTCTTATTTTCGACCATGAATATTGCGACAAATACTACAAGTGCAACCATGGCAAACCCGTTACCATGCCTTGCCCTCCTAACCTTCTATGGTGGGCTCCGTTCTGTTATTGGGCTGAACAAGTAGACTGTGGTGACAGAATTAGACCAGATGGCTTCAGCAGTGGAAACCAAGAGGCAGAAAAAGTCCCCGAGCAAGTATCTGGAGGAAACAGCGATCCCAGCCAAGCTCCTGCCATCTGCGCCGCTGAAGGTTCAGATGGCGTGTTGGTCGCTCATGAAAATTGTAATCAATTCTATAAATGCTACAGAGGAGAACCTGCAGCATTGGATTGTCCGCAAAATCTTCTTTATAATCCGGAAAAGGAATATTGTGACTGGGAGTGGAATGTTGACTGTAGCAATCGAATTAAACCAGATGACATAATTGGTGGAAACCCCAATGAAGATAAAGACCCCGACCAAGAATCTGGAGGAAACAGCGATCCTAGTCAAGCTCCTGCTATTTGCGCCGCTGAAGGTTCAGATGGCGTTTTGGTCGCTCATGAAAATTGCAATCAATTCTATAAATGCTTTGGTGGAGAACCTGCTGTATTGGATTGTCCGCAAAATCTTCTCTATAATCCAGAAAGGGAATATTGCGACTGGCCTGAAAATGTTGACTGTAGCAACCGAATTAAACCAGATGACATAAGTGGTGGAAAGCCTAACGAAGACAAAGGCCCCGAGCAAGTATCTGGGGGAAACAGCGATCCTAGCCAAGCTCCTGCCATCTGCGCCGCTGATGGTTCAGATGGAGTGTTGGTCGCTCATGAAAATTGTAATCAATTCTATAAATGCTACAGAGGAGAGCCTGCAGCTTTGTACTGTGCGCCAAATCTTCTCTACAATCCAGAAAAGGAATATTGTGACTGGGAATGGAATGTCGACTGTAGCAACCGAATTAAACCAGGTGATATAAGCGGTGGAAACCCTAACGAAGACAAAGGCCCCGAGCAAGAATCTGGAGGAAACAGCGATCCTAGTCAAGCTCCTGCTATTTGCGCCGCTGAAGGTTCAGATGGCGTTTTGGTCGCTCATGAAAATTGCAATCAATTCTATAAATGCTTCGGTGGAGAACCTGCAGCATTAGATTGTCCCCTAAATCTTCTCTACAATCCAGAAAAGGAATATTGTGACTGGGATTGGAATGTTAACTGTGGCAACAGAGTTATTCCTAGCGAAAAAATTGTAGCTTAGTAGAAAATCATTCAAGACGTTGTGAAGGCTTGATTTTCTCCCACCTATTATTGCGACTAATTTTACATTTGCAATCATGGCAGACCCGTCTTTAACTTCAGTTTTACGGTCCTACTCCGTTCTGTACATTTACTGTTTTAGTAGACTGTGGAAACAGAATTATACCAGATGACCAGGAGTTGGAGAAAACCACAACGATTAATAAAATAATATTGATTTGTTTCATTTGAATGTCATTGGTATTTTATATTTTATTTAATTTTCGTCTTTGTTTTGTTGCTTGTTTTTATATATTTTGTTAAATTGTTTTGAAAATTTGACTTTTATATTTCTATAATAAAGTATTTGATAATTAAGCTTTAAATTATATTTTGTTAATTATAACCTTAAACCTTGATTAAGAAGTAAGAAGTACTAAACTAATATATATAGTAAATACACTAAGCAGTATGGCCATTTAAACATCACCGGTTTTGGCCGCATCCCCAGAGGTAAAAGCTCCAGACCATAATCTACCTCTGTTTTAAATTTCATCCCGGTCTCTTTAGGCCTTTTGGAGTGATTGAGTAATAAAGAAATTCACAAACTCACAAATGTTTAGTCTATACTCACAATTATTTAATTGTATATACGTTTTCGGGACAAAAGGTACCCAAGAAATTAAAGTATAATCATACAAAGTTTCATCGCAATTGGATCAGTAGTTTTTGCGTGATGCGACAAATGACAGAAAGACGGTAAAAAAATATTTTAAAATAATTTTCGGAATTTTAGTTCAGTGTCTATGTAGTAACACCCCTACTATATTTAATTATATGTGTTCATTGTACAGAAATTATAATAATACAGATTTGTTTACTTCTTAAAAAAAGTATTTGAAATACATAAACTTATATTCAGTTAAAATTTAATGTTCATTTTGAAAATCTTTAACTAATTAATAACATTTTTTCCAGAAGTATTTGAAGTTATTGATTGTGAACACATTTTTAGGCACAGATCTTTAATTTTTATAGAAACAAAGTTTATTAAGTTTACATTAATATTACAGTCAATCTGATAAGAATGTAATTTTATAGAATGTTTTTATAAATATATTAGAAATACATTATAATAATATAAAGATGTGTAAATGATTATTTGCACTGGTGAAAAATAAAAATTTAATCTCGAGTCCCATGCGTCCATTTAGGTATGTATATAATACAATAATTAAATTTTACATTGATCAACCGCTGGTTATGGTTCTGGAAATTGCTTTGCCTAGTATCTACAACTGACACAAATGAGTATTCATATGTTTAAAAAAAACTGAAACTACCAGTATTATGCATATACATACAGGATTAAAATTGTTTTATTCGCAAATTTCGTTTGCGACTAGGCAAACGTTATTAGGCAAGCCTCTCGGCAGAAGTAAAAAATAATGCAATTAAAAATCTCTAAATAAAAGGGGTGCGCCAAATTGTATCTGTATAGTAGTAGCAGTATTCATAATAGTAGACTCTTTGTAACCAAATTATATACAAGGAAAACCGAGGATATTAATGTTACATTAATATCGTGATGTCATCGAAAAGAACACAAATATTTTTAATCAATTGCAACAATCGCCGATGATTAACTTCAAACCATGTTTTTCCTGGATTAATTGATATTTTTTATAAATAAATCAGTGCAGTAGCAGGATTGTGCATTTATTATGATCATATCACAGATAGTATGCGATTATAATATCAAGGCGTGATCGATGATGGCGGCATATTTGATGATAAAGAAACACGTTGTACCGATAAGCATCACACTGCCATGTCGATGTCAGAACTTCCCCTATATTATTGCACGCGTAAAGAACATTAATTACGTATATGCTCTGCAACTAGTAACTCTACAAGCTGTTGCATAATTTGACGAATGATTGCAGAGTACGAATAATTCTCTTACAAACTAACACACTTAAAAAACTAACTTCAACCCCCTGTTGGTTGGTCGGGACGGGCTGCTAGTATATTATATACATATAATAAAGTCGTAGAAAAGTCAAAACTGTATAATGAATATGTTTTTTAAAAAGAATCCGCGCCGCGTGATTTCAATCGATTGCGATGTCAAATATATGGTTTATGGAATTTTTGTCTGTAAGTATGTTCGGGATGATATCAAAAAATACTGCATGGATTTACTTCAAATGCATGAATATTACTAACAGGTTGGGTCAACATATAGGCTACATATTATCACGCTACCATCTCCAGGGGAGGAGCTGTGAATCGTTATTTCTCCTACACATTCTGTGACAACGTGTAATATAATGAAGCATAATTAAATATTATTTTTGAGTAAGCCATGCTATTATCTAGTTTTACTCTAAAAGACTATGATTTTCAATACGATTTTAAAATAAAAAATACGAATTCAAGTTAATTGCGGGCAACAGCTAGTATATAAATATACTAACAACGACATCTATGGACGAGTGTACGAACTACGTTCAAATGAAATGATCAAGTGAAATGGTGATGAAATGATATTTATTTCTGCAAATAGTCTATAAAGTAACACTTTCACCTGTCAATCTTTAAATTACTAGATAATGGCCGGCATTTCCTAACTGACTACTCTAAGAAGAAAAACCAAAACAAACTCAGAGGTCAATGTCCACGTTTAAAATATAATCAGGGTATGTACTAAATTATAATTGCTTTCCGGCCAAGACAGGCCATCAAAATAAATTATCACACTGCTAGATTATTAATTGTAGCGAAAATATTATATTTGATAAGATTATGATTTTAATAAGTACATCCGTTACTAGAGTTGATTGGCTACTGACACATGCGTGCTGTTATAAGTGGGCTTACTTTTGAATCCAATTCCGATCGATCGACATTGAGATTGCAAAATTTCGAACTCTTTTGTTTTGACTCTAGCGTCCATTGCATCCGTATTGCCTAGGTATTTAACACCTTGAATGCCATGGGGGACAACGTAAGGGCCACGCTAGCGAAATATTTACCTTCAACAATTTTCTATCGGCAGTCAAAGCCTTAATGAACTAAATAGTATTTAGGTTGGCTGTATATTACGTACTCTGAATGCTATTTTAACAGCTACTACAGGGGTTGTTAAGTTTTGACATTGAATAATTATTGAATTTTCATTGGATTGCAATTTAATTGGAATTGAGATTGGTTTCAAGAGTAAGCGCCCAGAACAGGTCTGCTCAAACTGTTGCGGATATTTCCTCGAAAGACCACTACGAAATCAACTTGCACGGTACACGCACATTATACAATCTGTCTGGACTTTAAAAGAGACCTCTGAGTTTGTTTCTGCGTTTCTTCTTAGAGTAGTTAGTTAGGGAAGGCCAGCCCTCATCTAATAATTTAAAGATTGACGTGTAAAAGTCTTACTCTGTAATCAATTTGCAGAAATAAATATCATTACAATCATTCTTGGTAGTCAGATTTTCGTTACGTACAATTACATTGTATGACATTTAATG